CCTATATTTGAAGAATAGTAATGAAAAATGGAAACCTTAGATGAAAAAGGAAGTAAAAATAAGGGTATATAATTAGTCAGATTATTTGTCTAAAATGAACAAAAATATCTCTTATTAGCCATATAATTTTTGGATATTATAAGTGGATAATAAACGACTATTACATGCGTTCATGTTTAGATAACATTTTTTTTTGAATCATCAGTTTTCACAAATATTTTGTGTTTATTATACATTGGATGTTTCATAATCACATGTTATTTATTAATATAGTATGTGTTTTGTATCAGTTCATTGCATTTTAACTAATTATCATATGTAACAAAAATTCACACACATAACTAATCTATAACATATCTTGCGTGTTTATTATATTATCCATATGATTATTATCCATATGATTTATCGCAAGTCGCAACCACATGTTATACATTACATGGACACCAAGGAGTAAAATTGTCTATGACTTCTCATTTGTCCACATGCATACTACTTATTTTCCTAAATTTTCAAACTTTGTTTCTATTTTATTCATTCAACCCTAGAAAAAAACCGATAATCACGAGTAAAATTCTGAAAATAATTGGTCTTTAGTCAGTTTAGGCGTTAACGACATCTAAATATTTCATTTGCGTCTAACAATTTTTTGAACATCATATAATAATAATCTCTCTATTTTAGTAATGGATTCTTTTATCTTAAGACGATAACAAGTTAACAACATAAAAGACCTAATTTTGACCAAACATAAAATTCTAACAAATGCATTTCATAGTAATTAGGGACTAAAAATAAAAATACTGTATCAAGCACTTTTGAGATTTACAAGTTTTCCTAATTTTTCAAACTTGTTCATTTATTGAATTAGTCCTAAAAAACTGAAAACATATAGGAAACCCTAAAACTAATCGGTTTTTTAAGCATAAACAACATATGAATATACATCTACATTCGTCTGTTTTCTTCGGAACAAGAATATATGACCAATATTAAGCGAATTCTTCACATTTCAATGAAGTGTTTTTGTATTTTAGCATAGTTTTAAGGAGAAATAAGTCCACTCCCAAAAATACAAAACATGAATACATGTACCCAATGGTAACCTTAGCCTATTATATCTTTCTTCAAAAAACTAAAGAATGCAAACTTTTTCATATTTCACGATCTTTTGTTTTTCTTGTTTTTTAGAAATCATGAAATATATATCTTTAAGGTCCAAGTTTTCAACCACGTGGTATAGTCATGTCTTCATCAGTTTCAGGTTCTGATTTAGAACTCGTTGCTTGTGCATTTACTTATTTGATAGAAGATTAAAACTTATAGAGATACTATTAGAATCTACGAATCTAAGATCATTTGATAGAAGCTTTGTTATGGAACGTACTTTTATTGCAAGGTCTCTAGCCCTATACCTAAACGTAAGAGATGCCTAAAAAAACTACTATTCACAGGTGACTTGATGTTATTAAAAATTCAAAGTGGTTCAAACTCTCTTATCGTAGTAAAAGTTTTTTTATGGAATATGAAGAGTGAAATCACTTTCAAAGTTAGGAATTAATTAGCAAGAGGTGTATTCTAATTTAAGCAAGTAAATAGCATGCTTTGTAAACAGCTAGAGACCTAATTGAAATTTTAGTCACACCTGGTTAATTTTGATGTCTAAAGAACATACATGGTAACTTCTTATTATGTTTTTCTTCAAGGCCAATACTGCACTTGTCCAAAGGGAGGCCCAATGCAATGGGCATGTGTCAATGGAAACAAACACTGCAGAAACAAGAGCATATTTTAGGACTGAGATGTTGGACATTAAAAGACGAATTGAAGTGCTCCGGACCGAGAATATGAACATCTGAATGGCTCAAGACTCCCGTATTTTCCTTCGCCCACTGAACACTTCCAACCGGGCCATGATTACCTACTCCCGGTAACTCTAACTCCGCATTGTCAAGAACGTGCATTCTTACCAAATACATAGTGATCTGGTAAGTGTATTTGGTTACCCAACCATATGATAAAAGGTCAAGAAATGTGCAAAAACTATTTTTAGCATATCGACAACGTTTCATCTTCATTTTTTCACATCTTAAACTGGAATATAAAAATCTTAAACAATGTTCAAAACAATCAATAAGTGTCACATAAACTAAGAACGAGAAACACCAGAAGAATAATGCAACATA